CACATCAGTGCATCAGCTTCCCGCTGACCCGCCCCTCTGCCCCTCGTCTTTTCCTACTGCAATTATTTTAAGGCAACACAATCAGCTGTCAAATACAATTTTGTTCATTTAGTTAATTTCAGATAACTTAAAAAACAGATTCAGTGTCTCAATTTTTTTTTAAACTTTTGAAATTATTTCTGCATTGGTGTTTCTCTTCATCTCTTCATATGAATCATAATTAACCATTAAAACTGCTGGAAGAAGTGAAACTCACATGTTTTACTGCACGTGCCTGATCAGGAAATCTTTGATTCACCTGAGGCCCATTGCACAAAAGTCAGATTTCTAAATTCAGGGTAAGAGCTGTAAGCCGAGGTTGAACTAGCCTTCAACTTGTAAACAGCCGTAATCAGTTGCACAAATACCAAGCTGCGCTCAATTAGGGTGTTTCATACAAGCCAGCTGTAAATAATCTGAGAGTAATGCACGTTCACGGTTTGCTTACTAGACCTACAGGGTGGATCAAAGATTTCCTGATCAGGCACACAGAAACATAAGTGCTTCGTAGTTCATGCAACTGATTCAAGGCTTAATTAATTCCGGTTTACACCAAAATCCAGGGTTAATCCCTTATCCTAGTTTCGTGCAATAGGCCTCTGATTGGTCTAGTAAGCAAATGGTGAACATGTATTAATCCCGAACGATTTACAGCTGGCTTGAATGAGCTGCCCTAAACAAGCCCAGCTTGGTGTAAGAGCAACAGATTACAGCTGTTGACAAGTTGAAGGCTTGTTCAAGCTCATTTTACAGCTCATATCCTGGATTTATAAATCTGATTTTTGTGAAATGAGCCTCAGTTCACTGCAAAAAAACTGTTCATTGTTTTGTTATTTTGTCTATTTAAACTTGATTTGATTTGATATGATATTTGAAAATAGTATAACAAGTCTGCAGTCATATTGAAATGATCTTCTTGTACAGGGAATTTAGGATGAACCATTTTTCAGCCTATTAATCCTCTCAGAGGTTTTGTCATATTCTAGACTGAGTATTAGCAGTATCAAAAATATAGTCTTCATTCTGAAGTAGGTTTTCGAAGTAGGTTTTGAAGTAAAAGTTGAAGCAAAATGTTTTCTGTTCAAATAGCTTTTTGAATTACCTAAGTTAAAAAAAGACTAACAGTTTAACAGAACAGATGACCTAAAAGCAAAGTGAATTGCAGCCATTTTAAAACTCTGACCTTGCAAATTTCAATTGATGCAAACATTATTTTAAAACCTTTGCACAACTTTCAAGTTTGTGCTACACAGTATGTTAGAAATAAATATAAAAACAAATCATCCCAGAGAAAATATCCAGATGCCCTGGACATGGGTGTGCAGGATGAGGTGGTGGTACTGGCCTGCCTTGGTCCAACCCATTCTCACTCTCATCACATATTGACGCTTGGTCCAGGTTGTTACTTGGTCAGTTTAAATGTGTCGAGTCCCAACTTTTGCTTGGTTTGCATTTTTAATTTCCTGTAGCAGCCACATATTCATAAAAACGAATATTGTTTTTGAGCAATTATGAGTTAAAAATATAAACGTCCACTGAAATAAAAAAAAATACTTCATTACATCATGTTGTTGTATATTTGACAAATGGAAAGTAAAGATATTGCATTTGTATTCATGGATTTTGCACAGCCAATTACCTTGTTCTGGTGAACAGACATCTTGAATTTGTATTGCTGAAGAGGACTTTTGCTGTTCTTGTAGTGTTGAATATACATGTATGTACAGTATGTATGTATGTATGTATGTATGTATGTATGTATGTATGTATGTATGTATG